CCCCAAAACCCCAAAACCCCAAAACCCCAAGATAACTCCCTGCAATTGATTTCATATTATTTCAAAATATTGTGAGACAGGTATTGCCAGAGACACTCACGGAATTGCTCCTCCAGATCTGCAGTTTCTTCAGAGCTCAGCTTCATCAAAATTTGAATCAAGTTGAGTCCTTGCATGTTCTTTTCATAGTTCGGCTAGAGTTTAGCTGATGTAATGACTTACAGAGTCCTGAGATTGAGCATAGAATATCCTGAGCAATCTGGATCTATTAAATTCATGCCAGCTAAATTTCCTAACTTTAGTGTCATATCTTCTCTTATAAGCATAACAAGAGTAGCAGTAAAGCTCCTCAATAGCTTTCGGAATCTCTTTATCATGGCTTTCTTCAGAGTCAGGATCTTGGTCAGTAGGCTCAGGGTCTTCTTTATCTTCCCTAATCTCTTTGCTCTTACTTCCTAGTGACTTTATTGATCTGTGCAAAAATTAAGAGTTAAAACCAGTAAAAGAGCCTTGTTTTACAGAAAATTCAGCCAAACCATGGCTTAAAAACTTGTGCTTACTTCTTTGAGCTCTCGTTGTTCCTCCAATATTCACTATTGAAGCAATTTCCAAAATTTGTAATACACAGTTCCACTGTGTAATCAAATTTGGCAAAGTACCAATCAAGGTGCTTATTGAGGATACTTTTTAAAGAATTGGCCACATCTTGCTCTATTTCCCAGACCTGCATGAAGCTCTTAGAGTTTGTAATATTGATAATCACTGCAAAGTCCTGAGAGGTTATCAAGGTCTCGAGGTTGTTGACTAGAAGTTATGGGGATATGAATACCTTGGAACTTTAAGAGAGAGTCCTCATCTTCTTCGATACCTTTAGCCTCGCTTTTATGGTCTTCTTCCCCGATGAAAGTCATAAATTCTTCTCGTAGGAAATCTATACTCTTGCTACGTCTGATTAATTCTAGAAGTTATGTGATGGAGTTACTCTTTTGTGAAAGTTGGAAGGGGTCCTCTAGTAGAGCAAACTCTACTGGAGTTATCTCCTTAAATTCTACAGATCCCTTCGCTGAAGACCTCTGGCTGAGTCTAGAAGAACCCTTCAGAAATTCTCTGGAAGGTGACTCTTGCCTATGCATCAAGTTGAATAGGAAGTAATCATTGAGGTCATCGAAGTTGTCCTCTTTGAAGTAATCATAAAAGTTGTCATCCAAGGTCGAGAGGCTTTCTAAGTCGATTGCATAAAAGTTCTCTCTGATCTCATATGTAATTCAGCCTTTCATCCTTTGTTTGAGATATTGTTCTTCTACATGACCATAAGCAGTTGGGTTAGGAGCCCCCTCGATCCTTGGCTTAAAGACAATCTTGATTTCTTGCTTAAGTCCTTCAGCTTCAATTATATCAGCATTAAGAGTGAGGAACAATTCTACATATTTGGGGTTAGATCCGATAAAAATGAGATAGGTCTTAACAATGTTCTCATTTTGATCGATACAATTCACGACCAGTTGGCTTCTAATCAAATAATCCTTCTTGCTCTCATTTAAGACTTCGTGCAGCTCATGTATCATTGATAACTAAACATTATAATTCACCTAAATTCCTACCAAAGATTTCCTCACAAACTCAGGGTACTTAAATTTGATATTGATACTTGCAGATCTAGAGATAACTTCTTCACCTCACCTCTTAATATTATCAGATGGGAAATCCTCATTGCCATCATTCACGATGCTCTTTGCCTTATGGACTACCAATTTCTCCACAGCTAAAAGTTGCTGTTTTCCTTCAGATTCATCTACAAGCTAAGACAAATAAAAACCTTTAGAGTTACTACTAGAGTCTTGCTTTGAAGACCCTAAGTCTTCCTTGCTTTCTTCTTTACAAGAGGCTTCATCTTCTTCATCAATTTTGTCACATTTCGAAGCAGAGGAGTTACCCTCAATATTTTCTGTGTTACTTTTCTCAACTTTACCTTCTAGAGTAGATCCAACGCTATGGTTTTTGGTAATTTGAATAGGCTCTTTAAGCAAATCCTGGGCTGGCTCCGCTGGAGTTTGTTTAGGTGTCTTAGGTTCGATATAATATGGGATATCACTCTTTTTACGGAAATAGAATGCTCCAGCTCTATCTCCTAGATCCCTCTGGAGGTTTAGCTCTGTGACATTTAGAGGTTTAGTGTCCTTTCTCTGAGCAGGGGCTAGTGAGAATGTAGGGACAAGGGAAACCTTGTTTTTGATGTATTCAAGGTATTTATCAAACTGTCCAATGATCGTATCTGTCAGTTTTGAAAGTAAGAATGAAGCAAATCTTTCCTCTTTCAATTCACCCTTATAGTTAGCATGAACGTAGATGTACGAATCCTGGATTTCAGGATGAATTTCTTCCTTCACTATTTTGCTTTCAATAGTATTTCGGACAGAATTTACATTGAGATCGCTCTCGTGCATAAGCTGCTTCTCTTTCTCTTCTAAGCTATCATCAGGTCTGTAATCCAGAGTTTTTGTAATAGAAGTTTTGGTAGATTTAATTCCATCAGAAATTATTTTGGCCAGAACAGACCTTCCCTTCAAAGAACTTTTGTTGACCTTCTGAGCCTTTGGCTTGGCTAAGGGACTGTTCCCTTCGTCTAAAGTAGGGACTGCAAAGGAGTCAAGGTGGTTCAGAATCATAGTGAATTCTTCTGGCGTTGCTTTCTTTATTCCAAATATAACATTGGTCAGAGCAGCTCCATAATTCCTCCTCTCAGATTTATCTGCATGGCTTTCAAGATTTGTTCTTCTGATAGCTTGAGTGTTACCACCGAAACCATTATAGAGCAAAGTGTTTACAATCTAGAATAAAAATTAGAAGAGGGCTTACATCTTTGTTCCTATTCTCAAGACCAACTTCCTCCATCATTGTTGCAGAGACATTCCTTCGAGAAACTGTCGAATTTTTCAAGGCGTTTGAAATTCTGAAAGAGCTCTTAATAATATTTGATGAGTTTCTCTCTCCAGTTTCATTGAAAAATTCTACCTTGCTAGGCTCCTCCAATTCAAATGGAATGCAAGTTCCGATTAGATTTTTCCTCAAATCATCAAGTAACTGTGTGAAATTCTGGGAGACTATTGCTTGGATGAATGGAGGTAGCCTAAACGCAAGCATTACTCTTTCACTTCGATCATTGATGAAGGCATAATCATCGAGATTAGGCTTCTTCCTCAGCAATGTTTTTGCTCTCAACATAAGAGTAATTTGTTTGATCTGAGCATCAATAGTATGGACAATATCATTCAAAAAGTCCTCGCTAGGATCAGAAACCCCATACAGCTTTAAAAGTATATTATTCTCCTGATGTCTGACCTGGTCAGAATGAACCAAGACAGAAGCTGATGTCTTTACACCTCTGAATGGATCATCATCGCTCTTGTCTATTAGAGTGAACACAAAGGTTTTGGATTTATCCTTAATAACAAAAATATTCTTTCTGTTACACTATAAGATTAGCACTGAAAATTACCTCAAGATTCTTCAAGATATTCATGTTATCAATCGACTTAATGTTGATGTTGGCTGGGACTTTATACTTGTGGACGAAGACTAGCTTTATCTCATACTGGCTCAGGTCTTTCTGATTCTTGACCTCATCTTCTTCCACCAAGGCGATTACCTCGGTACCCTCATTTCTCTTAGAGGGAGAATCTTCAGGTTGCTTCGAGAAATCTAGCAGTTTTGCCTTTGTAATAGTGTTGTTACGTTGAGTTCAAGATCATTTTTCCAATCCACAGTTCATTCATTTCATCTTAGAGATATCAGGGGATGTAAATTTGTTATCTTTAGTATCATCTTTATCTGGCTGATTTGAGGAATCAACTGATTTCATTTTCTGAGCCCATTTTTCCATTCTTGATAATTTCACACTTTTCTTAGCAGGAGGAGCAGCTTTCCTCTTAACTTCAGTTTGGACTTTCTCTGAAGTAGATGCCTTTCTTGAGGAAGATTCTTCTTGATGAATAAAGCTGCTTTTAACGCTTGCCTTTTCTTCTTCCTATAAATTATATTATAACTCAAACCTTGTTGATCAGCTCTGGGTCATTAATGACTAAATCTGTAGGCCACTCTCTTGATTCATTGAGTTTGACTAGTAAAATCCTTGTAATGAGCTTGTTTTCAAATTCTTGGGTCATTTTCTTGAACTACATTTTAAAATAGATTAATTAAAATACCTTAGTTTCGATTTCTTTGAAAATTTCATCGTCATCACAGAGTCATTTAACTGATAATTTGATCATATCAGATTTGCTAGTGCCCTAAATTTTAACCCTTCTGCATACTTCTTTTGGTGCAATAATGATCTGGAGTAGCATCCAGATGTCAATTTCAAAGTCTCCAAGCGCAGTGTACTATAATTCTGAGATTTTAGATAAATACCGTATCTGGGTCACTGAATTTAAACCCGTTCATAAACCCACTACTCATCCTAATCATGGAGTTATCTCTGCTATAAATCAAAATATGATCTTACGTGTGTCTAAAGTTGAGGAATCTGCTAGGCTTTATATTTTTATTATTCTTGTTTCCTAGCGCATTTTTGACAGGTTTACCAATCATAGCTGCTCTCTTGTCTCTCCAATTACGTCCTTCATCTACAGGGTTAGTACGTATGATTACTTATTCCAGACTCAATGATGCTCTCTTTGAAATTTCTATATGTTTACACCTACCCTGTACCTATTATGAGCCTCATTCTGGTCGAAAATCTTGTCTTTCTTCCTAAAATTTTGGAAATATTTAGTCGAAATAGAGAAGAAAATATCTTCTCCATCGTTGATAGATTGGTAGCCGAACTTCATGACCTTGTTTGACTTTATCTCATCAGTCATCATTTTGAGTAAGACCTCTTTGGAGGCGGTATAGCCTTTCAGGTCAATATTGATCTCAATGGTCTTTGTATTGACTTGTTCCAAGCAGTTCATCACCTCCTTTATAATTGAGCTGTTCATTGGTCGGAGATATCTCATCAGGTTTAATTTTTGTTTGATGAAGAATGTGACAAAGTTCACTAGCTTATTGTAAATAACTTCTCTGGTTTTCTGAGTTAGTCTCAATACATGATTCCGGTGCTCTCCTTCTCTGTTTTTAACAATAGTAGGGATGAGAGATGAAATGGAGTTCTTTCCGAAGGATCCTTTAACTTTGCTCCCATCCTGAATGTTCAGCAAGTCATTCAGTCTGGAATCGTAAGAATCATCGTTTTGAGCGCCTATGCTCTCATTCCAGTCCTCTTGGAACACATTGATGAAATTTTTATCAAAGTCTTTTATATTAATGCTCTTTTCAGAATCCTGGATGATTTGGTCTTCTTCTATATTCTCATCCCACAGTATTCCAATAGCTTCTGGGAGGAGCTCAAATTTCAAAATTACATTTGCTGAAGACAAGTTGCTTTCTTCATCTTCTTCATCATAATTGTCCTGGATGAGGGAGATATTGTCAAGGGAGTCAATGCCAAAATCTAAGAGCTCACTCCTGCTCTGTGCAAGGGCAGCTCCGATATAGCCTTGGGACTTGTTGACCTTATTGTCATCTACAGTTTGCTCCTTGATGTATTTCGCAGAAATAATGAATTTCTTGATACTTTTCATGTCAAAAATACTTGAGTAACTATCTATCGTGCTCTTTTGTCACTCTGATCGATCAGAATACATCATCTCAAGCATGTAGAAGAGGAGAGGATGCTCAGGCTCGACTTTAGATTTCTTATTGGTTGAACTATTCTCGGCTCCCAGAAATAAATAATTTGAAGAGCTGTCTTTAATATGTCCCTTCATGAGGATATCATCGAAGTTCTTCTCAATTTCAGCATATTCATCATCATTAGCTTGTTCATTTGAACCGACAACAGCGGAGCTAAATGATTCAATGCGATGGTGGGTATTAGGGGTCATATCCTCAGCTTCCTTTTCAGAGGTAATCCTAGAAAGATCAGGTAGCTGCTTGGCAGACTCATATCTCTCGAAACATTCTTCTTCAACAGTGCCTACCTTTTTAAATTTTTCCTCTCTAATCGGCTGAGGGAATTTCTGGAGTTCAAGTGCTAGCAAAATCAGATCTGTAATATTTATCTTGAAAGATAAGCAATAAGTTGAATTTTTCAGGCTGATAAAGTCCTTTGGAATCACCTCATTTCCTTGGCTAATGATCTTAATTCAAGATTCAGAGAACAGCAGTCTGTGCTGTTGCCTCAAGAAATTCATGAAATTGTTGATAACTTTCAAAACATTGGTCTCGAAGTTGAGCCAGTCTTCATTCTCTTCTTCAAGGTAGTAATCTAGGTCAAAATCTGAGTAATCAATCTGGATATTTTTCTGTTTGCCAAAATACTCCTTGGTCCATTCTTGTGTGACCTCATAATGAGGGTTGAGGTTGTGAAGAATCATCTTGGTGTCATTATAACTCAGGTTAAGCAACACATTATTGATGTGGAAATATGAAGCTTTTATGAACACATCTTTTCCCTTTTTGATAAATCGGATTGACTTCCGATAGAAAATCTCAAAAGTATTTATCTTTATCACAAATAATTGGTCCTTGCTAATACATTTAAGGAAGAAATTTTCCTCTTTTTGATATTTTTGAGAGTCAATCTGGTGGTCAGCAAAGTCTTCAAACACTTTAAGAAGAGCTCCATAGAATTTCTCATAGTATTTCTGCCCAAATTCAGAATTTAATATCAGTGATCCAGGCACGTCAGGGACATAGAAGTGTTCTTCTCCGATCTTTTCAGAGTTGTCTAGCAGTAAATCAATTGAGAGACCAATATTCTCACCAAAAATCTTTTCTGGAGCACAGGAGCACCCATGAATAGTATTTTCATTGTGTGTTTGCTTCTGTTCTTCCTTTTCATCATTGTTCTGCGCGTCAATGTTGTCATCATCAGAACCTCTCAGTTGGTCAATTTCTTCAAGTAGCTTTTTCTCATTTTCCTTATTATAGGTGTGTATATTTAGGTAGTTGTCTTTCATATACTTGCGCATGTCTTCATTAATCATAATGATTTTTAGCTTCATCCTCATTTCATCATGAAGCGTACGGATAATATTGATGTACTTGTCATCCATAGTACCTTGGAAGTAGCAGATCTCTGAAGTTATAGGCTGTTTATTGATGATCTTATCCCTAGTCATGTCAACTCTTCTCTCTAGTGCATTAGTTAACAAGTTATGGTAAGTACAGATATTAGTGAACAAGAACTTATCCATCCCTGTAAAATAGTTACAAAGCTGTTGGAAGAAATTAATTTCTCTGTATCTCACATCTTTGACTCTCTTTTTCTTCCGACTTGAGAACTTAATTCTAGGTTTGTTTTCGTTATTTAAAACAGATTGAGAGAACTCTCATCTATCACAGCACTCATGTGTTTCCTTAATCTTTATTTCCTCCTCTTTTTCATGACACTCTCACTCATCACAAGAGACTTTCTTCTGATGTTCAGGGTCCTTCTTCTCAGATTTTATATGATAGTGACCACTCTCTTTCTCCAAATAAATCTCTGTCTTCACGTAGGTTGGGTTGTTTTTGTCCTGCTTGATAAGATACTGAATCAAGGACTGCACTTTTGCTCAGTTCTTACCAGTGTAATACTTCTCAAGTTTGACGACTTTGATGAATAGCAGTTCATCATTTCAGGTATGCACTAGTTCAAATCCTTCACAGATTCTGTGCCTAGCGATGATATTTATGAAGTCTTGGATAATTTTCTTGTTTCGTTGGCACCAAATCCATTTATTTACAAAAACTATTGGCTAGCCTCACATGTTTGTAGGGAACAAAGTTGAAGATATTCATAGAATCTGCTCTAAAAATGTAGTTAGGGATCTCCTTGAAATCCCCAGAGTTGTTCATCTCATGATTTAGAGTAGATTTCGTCTTGTAGGATGGGTTGTTTTTCTCAAGCTCAGCTTGTCTTTCCAACCTTTTTCTCTTGTTTATCACATCTATTGGTAAAGTTACCAATAAGCTTGAAACTCTACTATCGTAGAGGATGTATGTAATTCCTTTGGCTTTCATTTCCTCGTTAGTGAAGATAGATTCGATCTCTTTGAGATATCTGAGACGCTCATTTCCTTCTGTGTTATACATTCCAACGAAAACTACACAGAAATTTGGAGTCATCCATGATAGAGAGGTAAAGATCAGTTTGTTTTCATCCTTTGTTGAGATATCCTTGACAAGAAGATCCTTGCTTAGAGCTAATGATCAGTACTTGTATAACACTTTGAAGACCATTCTTCTGATGATTATCTCTTTATTTTGCTCTGGGTTAGATATCAGAGGGTTTATGCTTCTGCAGAGAATATCAAATCTGCCAACTTTCAGATTGCTGTGCCAATTAGACACATCCATTTTCTTTTTAATTTTAGCTAAAAGCTTAGCATGCCTCTTCTTAAAACTAAGGGCGTGGTATAAATATTTTTCTCTCTTTTCAGCTTGCTCCAGCTTTGAACGAGGTATTGTTTCGATCTTTTCTAAATATTCAGGATCATCATTGCACCATGAGAATTTGTTCATCCTTGTGGTATGGTCAATGCTCTAGAAATTATTTAATAAGCTTACCTTCTGGGTCTCCATAAAGGGCTCTTTTCCATCGTTAAAGTATTTATGAACAATTCTTTCTGATCTAAATGCTTCTCCTAATTGCTCTAAATTAGCTACGATGCGATCTGTAGTGAAAATGTCTTTCACAAATCTCTGGATTCTCTCATAAGTCGAGGTTGGAGCTTTGACCATAGAATGTTTGTACTTCTTCCTCATCTCAGCTTGATAAATACTCACATGTTTATCTTCATGGAACTTCTTCAAGATCTCCTCGTCTGCAGTTATGAAAACTACAGCTTTCAATAATTTCTCCTGACCATGCCCAACTCTTTTGTCTTGGACGATCTCACAAAGAATGTAGGAGATGAGGATATTTTGGCTCCAGTAAAACACAAATTCAGCCGACTTTAGAGCATTCTCTGAATCTTCCTTTGTCTTAATACTTCTTAGGATAAATGACTCGAAAGTCCTGACTTCTCAGATACTCTTGAAAGGGCACTTTAAGGTGTATTCAGTGTACTGGAGTTTCTTGTACACAGGCGCAAAAACATAATTCATCAGCTTGTTTGGGTTCATAATCTCAAATTGGCTTCCAATGTTCTTGTGTTTGTAAATGTTCTTCCTCTGAGCCAAGTATGTCCTGAAATCAGCAATATTTCTGTTGTCACTAAACATTGAATCATAGTAAATCGGTCTACAAAAGATAATCTTTTGAAGAGGAGTTAGTCTATTCTTGTTGTTCACTCTCTCTATATTTTTATAGTAGAATCTTCAGAGTATTTCGAGTAGCGCTCGAAGTCTTTATATTTTAAATAATAACCCTTAGTCACCATTGCAAGGATCCGGAAGGCTTCATGGCTGTTAATATATCCAAAACTATTTTTGTGATTCGTTTCGTTCTCGAGTGACACAACTATTCATTTGGCATCAAGCCTGCATAGCTGCATGATCATGCTGTTGTAGTAAGGCCCATAGCTGTTGGACACTCATCAATCAGTGACTAATATCACAATTGGGAAAGATTTCGGCTCAGATTTGGTGAGAACAAAGATGATATTTTGTATAATTCTATCCAAACTTTCACTTCTGTACCTCGTATTTGACTTGTTGATTATCTTTTGAGCAAGGCTTTCAAATCTATAAATTTGAGAGTTCACTCTTTGAACGAGAGCCCAGATTTGTTCGATATCAACCTCGTAGTTAAGCACAAGTATGGGTAAAGAACTTTCAACTATATCTTCTCTGCAAATATGCTCGTTACTTTTAACATTACTAGTTAAATCAGGGAGCCCACACCCGATGATAGTGAGTCAGATCCTTGGCTTAAAGATGAAAGATTCTTTATTGATTCTATCATTTTTCTTAATGGCTCAGGAGAGGTTAAATAAGGTCGCATTGACCACCTCTTTCATCTTTTGGAAGTACATTTTTCAAGCACTTTCATCTACAGCACTCATACTCTGACTAAAATCAAGGCAAATTACGATATTGTATTTGTCAAGGTATCAATTTACTCTTGTCTCAGGTGTAATTTTCTCTCCAATTATCTCACCATTAGAATTACTCCCCTTCCAAGTGACCGTAGAGATTCTGATAGATTCAAAGTAAGGTAGGTGATCCTCTATGTATAATTCCCTAAAATTACCATCCTTGTCTCAGTTTACCATAGTTGAGGAATGAACACTTTTGTAATCTCAGTCAAAGCTCTTCTCTTCAGAGTCTTGATCAAGTGAAAGCACTCCTACTGACTTTGACTCGGTTTTGACACTCATTTTCGGAGTGATCAAGGTATTAATATTCGAAAGGAACCAGTTCATGTAGTCTGTAGGGGAAGGAAAATCCCATCTATGTTTAGTATCAGCTTGCACAAACCCAAAAGCTTACACTTGTAAGAAGATATCCATCTTTTTAATATGAGCTTTGACTTGAGCTCCCTTATTCTTTGGGTTTCTTGAAGTTTTCCTTTCCAGAGACTTAATTGAAAACTCTTTCTTATCTAAGCAACAATAAAACTCTGCATTATGTTGAAATCCCAAAAATTGAGATATTCCAAAATTTGCGCATGCAGATATCCAAGCGTGGAGTCCTTAGTGCATTTCAAAAACTTACTAAAGTCTCTCTTTAGAGATTCTATGAGTTTTGCTTTCTCTTTGAATGGGGTTTTGTCTTCTTCTCGTTTATCAACCTTGTAAAAGCTGTCGTCGCTTGACCCATCGTCTTGTTCAGACATTTTTATTTAATATTATAACTAACCAATCATTGGATACAGGTCTGGGGTTTTGGGGTTTTGGGGTTTTGGGG